AAACATCACAAATATCTATTTATTGACTACTCTATTTAATTATCAAAATACTATAAAAAATAAGTGCAGGTTTTTAAAATATTATTTTGCTAACCTCCTCTATACTTATCCGTATGTTACCTAAATATTTATAAGAAAATTATAAAAATATCCATTGAATGAAGAAATTATGTGATTAAATAAAAATTTTGGTAGGCAAGTAATGTTAAACCAAAAATCTCTTTTGAAAAAATGTTTTGTACAACCAAGATATTTTCTTTTTTTATTTGATTAAATATTTCATTTTTAATTTTTGCATCTCGATAATGCATCAGAAAGTTAACCGTGAGGAAACAAAGGTTTCTTTAAGTATAGACCAACATTATAAAAACTTTGACCTTAAGAATTGTTTATAGCCATAGCAAAAGCTATAAGAAAATCATGTTATACATAAAGTAAATGGCAGTAAAGTAACATTTCCAGTATTTAATGCTTGTGAGGGTCGTGATTATGTATAGATAAATTTATTATTCTATAAGGTATATTTATTTTTATCATACAATTAAATATACACTATTACAATAGAGTTCTTTTACGTGATGATATATATTCATGTAGGTTAGTATTTATGAATTCCTTTTTAAGAGGGATAGGAGGCAATGAGGATTCGTAGGTACAAAGTGGAGGTCGGATTGCCCTCAACATGTATTAAGAGATACCTCAGTGGAAGTGTGCAGGAACGTAGTCAGATTCACAATTTTCCTGACTCGTGACACACAACATCTCGAGGTCTTATGATTCTAGTAAGTACAGATTTATTGACTCTCTTGTGTTACTGTTGGACGCGGTAAGTCACAAATGTCCCAGGATCACTTCAGTTCGTACTGCCCTGAAGATCTGCCGGTTCACTAGCTACCTTATCTAGAGGATAGCTCCGGTTCGTACTACCCCGAAGATCTGCTTTTTACGGGGAAAACTATGAGCCTGTAATTGCCTCTTCGTCACTCTTTTAGCCAGAGTAATATATACAGTGAATGGTGTAATGTTAAAAGTAGTAACCAAGTATGTAATTATAATTCCGCTATTTATTGCGGTATAAAAAATTACAACAGCGCTTTGAAGAGCAGAGTTCCGTAGTCAAAGTTCCAGACTCGTCGCTGATGGCAAAAGTGATTAACATGGGCAGGCATATGCCTTTTATATCCTCCTGAGAAGCGGCGTTGGCGGCTTTGATTAGGCGGCTCAAATATAATAGTTGCGAGCTCTAGTATAAGGTGTATCTCCATGTCAAACATTTGATTATTAAAGCGCTTTTACATTTCTAAATGGCGTGAAGGTTTAAATTCACGATAGCTTTGGTTTGGTGGTATATTTGAATACTCACTTGTGAACTAACAAGCTATTCTTAGAAAAAGAAACTTTTTCTCTAATTCTGTCTTTAGTAATTATGTCACTTTATATATCAAACTTATATAATTTAGTTCTTCGCAATCGTGTGCTATTACACAAACTGTCTGATATTATTAAGTTTCTTATTACCATTACTACACTTTCAATTTCCATACTCGGATTATGAGGTATTAAGCCTTTCTGAATATTATTTTGCACTTCTACCAAATAACTTGTATAAATATTATTATTTAAAAGTTGCCAGATCTATACTTTCATACAATTGAGACTTTTCTTTTCATGTGTCTAAAATTTTGTCGCTGATAAAAAAGTATATTTATTGTTGTTTTAAGTGAAAATGACATTATTTATCGAGTAATTATTGTTTTTAAATATTTTCGAACATAAATCGTGGGTTATCAAATTTTTAGAAATAGGAATCATTTTTATTTCTTCTTCTCTCATTTTCAACAATAATTTAAAAAATGTTTTATTATTTAAACAAGTTTTTTTTTTTAAATAAAAAATTTAAAAGTATTTTGATAAAAAGGATGACTTAATAGTTCTTGCTATTATTATACTTCTGTTACTCAGGTAACTATTATTATAACTTATATAATGTGCAGTATTCAATTTAAAAATATTTTCAATTTACAACCTCATTTGTCATGCCTCGAAGTCTATGGTTACTAAAAAAATGACAATTCATTAGCAGGAAGTTGGCGCACGGAGCGTGCAGAGTGTTGGAGATACACACACATAGATATTTTATTACCGAGTCGATTACAACATTGTTCAAGGAGATATTGATCTGGAAACTTTTTCAAAAATTCAAGGGATGTTTACTGCTGAATATACAACGTAAGTTAGTTTTAGATGCAAGAAAGGAGCAAAATTAGCGTTATGGGCCACTCGTAATTGTATGTCACTTGTAAATTAATAATTTTGATGACACCTGGAATCAAAACACGGAATTTTTAATTTTTCTGCGGCGTATAATCTTGAAGTTATTTACGAAAACAATATATTAAGCATTTTAAACAGCAAAAAAGTTGTATTTAATACTTGGATGCTGTTAAAGTTGTGGAACTGGAACCTCATAAATTGAATATTGCAACGGAAAATACTCTCACATACGCATGCAAATGAATTTGGGCATTTTAATAAGAGCGTTTTGTATTTTACAAAAATTAAGGATGTCGTAGGAATTTTGTCCAATTTTTTTATTTTTGTAAGCTAGTGCTACAGAATTGCGTATTTAAAAATTTTGTTCCTTCAAAAATAAAAACGAAGATTCCGTAACGCCAAGAAATGTCATTTATCTTTTCGACGCATTCGTTTGTTGACTCCGATATTGGTGGGTTTAAATATAGCTGTTTTATGTATGATATAAGCGCAGTAGCAGAATTTAATCCAAATTTTGTGCTTTACAACTTTGACTTGTCGACGCATTTATTAGAGTCCGTAATCGTCCTTTTTTTTTAAAAAAACAGCAACGCTAAAGAATATCGTGTATCTTTTCGAAGCGTTTGGTTAGCAACTTCGAAGGTGATGAGTTCAAATATAGCTGTTATCAGTATATGATATCAGTACAAGGGCAAAGTTCAATTTTCATTTGGTACGTCTTAATCTCGATTTTTCAATGAGTTTATAAGAGCCCGTAACATTTCATTTTTGCCAAGAATCCGTAATGCCATTCTGTAAAGATAAAAATCGCATTTTACCTTAGTTTGGTGTTAGATTATCGTCTTGGGCAGTGATTTGCACGAATGTGAGTAGTAAGTAAGTTATCTAAATGTGAGAATAAAGTTAAATTATCATTGAGAACGCCCTTATCTTGATTATAATAAGATTTAATTACAGCCGGTAACGCTACTATTTTTGAAAAATATAATAAGATACTCGTCGTAAACAATTTTTTTATCCAGATTCAGCAGGGCCCAAAAAGTTTGAGCTTATTATGGTTATCGACAATTTAAAAAAAATCTCTTTACAATTAACAATCCACTCTAATCGTTTATCCAGTCAGACCCTTAAAATATGCCGATTTTTGTAGAATGACTCATGTATATCATTTTATATCTTAAAGCGTACTGAAACTTTTTGTTTTTCGAGTGTTACGTTCAAACATACTTCTGTTAATAGGATAGGCCTTTCTTTCTTTTTTTTTTGGTACGTCATATCGACTTTAGAGATATACATGCACTACCGTTAGGGATTTTTTGAAAATTTATCGAAATAGGCTTTTCAAGTCTGATACTTCGATTCGACCTTAACCTAAATCATCCGTATTTTTTGACGTAGTCAACATTTTTAGCTTCATAAGTACTGAGACTGGAGCTTGTTTTAAGAACTTTGAGAGTGTTTGTATTGATATTTGATAACTAACCTGAAAAAAATTTATGAACAACAGAGCTCACCCTTCATCGTTCTAATAAAATTTTATCGTACTTATACATCAATTTTCTGAAGAAGTTAAAAAAATTAGTCTTTGTTAATTTTTTGTGTGTTCACTAATTTTATCGTGTTCTTAAAAGAATGAGGGAAAAAACTGTATTTTATAGGTGTATCTTACATTTCCCTTTTTTTAAAAACTGGGAAATTTCAAGTGCACATTCAACATGTAGTTTTTTCTGTGTTGGTGTATAGTATATCTTTGAAATACATTGATAATTTTATTAAACTATGTGTTACCACTAGTGAATCAGATAAACAAGTGCCAACAATATCTACAATTTATTACAAGTACTAATTCTCCGTGTTCTTAAAATTGATTTTTCTACAAAATGCATTATTCTAAATTTCAATGACTTAAAGTTATAAAAAGATGCACTATTTTATAATTTTTGTACGATACAAAAATTCATTAAAATTAAAAAAAAATTTTTTTCTGTGTTATTTCTATGTACGATATGCTTACAAGAAGTAGTTCAGAGCTTGTAAAGAAGTAGTGAATCGCTTGGTTTAATTTTGATGAAACCGTAAAATCGTGCATTTTAAATTGTACATAATTTTTTTAGTACTGGAACTTAATACTATTAATTTTTTTTAAATTAGTGTTTACCTTGAAAGTTTTTAAACCATCTTTTTTTAATGATATATTCTACTTTCTTTAATAGCTACATTTTTAGGATGTTTCATATACATTCAACGGTAGTCTTTAATGCCGCATGTTACTAAAATTACTGAGAGTTTTTTACGCATCCATTAACAGCATCAGCACCAAGAAAATTTGTGCTTTAAAATCAGCTTTAGTAGTGTGATAAAATAATTTTTAAACTCAAGCACAGTACAATTTATAAGCTTATTTATAATTACAGAAATATTTGCAGAATGAGTTAAAATAATAAGGGTCTTTTGTATGTTAAATACTACGTTACTAATGCGTACATTTTTTTGCCTTCTTATGCTTTATTTTAGGTTTAAGTTCTTAATTTTTTAACGTTTTTAAACGACTTATATGTGCTACTTGTTTAAAGAATTACATTTTTTGGATTTATACCCAATCCAAAATGATTGTTGTTTGTATTTTTTACTAAAATTAATTTCTTTTTCAAATACACTTGCCAGTTTTAAATACTATTAAAAAAAAGGTTTTTAACTGATTTAAACTTTATGTTCAATCTTTACAGGGAGTTGAACTCAAACAAAATATCGTACATTGTTGAGGACGCCATTGGAATTTTCGTTCCATTAAATCAGCTACAAAAATTAGGAATAGCTTACAACCAAATCAAATCAATTCATAAAAATGCATTTAGTGGATTGACGCAAATTACTGAACTTGACTTAACTGGAAACAATATAACAAGCATCCAAGAAAATGCGTTTAGCACGATGACGTCAACACTTACATCTTTAAAAATAAATACTAGTAAGCTTTTTCAGTAAATAGTTTTTATAAGAAATTCACTAAATGTTCGTCTTTTGCTAACAAACACTTGAAATAAAAATATTTTATACAGGTACTTTATTCTGCGATTGTGGACACCAGTGGCTCAGTGTATGGTTACACTCTAAGCGGTACAGCGACACCAATATTCAGTGCGGTTACCCTCACTGGTTACAGGAGAAGTCATTAACTCAGCTGCATCATGCAAATTTTACATGTGGTAATTTTTTACGTATTGAAAGTATTGATTAGTATAAGAAGAGTGCATGGAATAAGACCTCCTCACTTCGCCGTTGATTTTGCGCAACATAAAGATTACGAAAAAACTCGTTTCTCAACTGTATATTTTTTTAAGTAAAGATTTTTTTGAAAGATAATTTACCCACATTTTTTAGGAAATTTGCAGGTTATTGTATCTTTGAGCAACACAAAAAAAAGTGAAAACAGTTTGAACGCCAATACACCTTTGCCCAGTGACCCATAAAACTTAAATTTATATATCTATACGCATAGGGTATATTTATATTTCGAAACTGTTGACAGCAGCTACCATTGAAAGCTTAGGGACAGCTAATTTTATATTTTATTTGACAGAAATGATACACTTTATCATTATAGCTTATAGTATTTGCAATGAAATAAAATATATAACGAAAAAAAACTAGTTGTTTGCTCATAATTGACAAATCAAGTTATAATTAAGATATCAAAGGTAAAAAAAATCCCCTAGGTGTAGAGTCCGTTCGTATAATTAAATATAATAGTTAAGAGTGTACAATGCTCATTCTATCAATAATTGACTCAGTTCCTTAATAATTCAGTCCAGACCCCTTTAAACAAGGCAAAAGGGCTTATGAAACAATTCCTAAGAACGATTTTTTGGTAATATACTTCATTCTCTTTTATGTTTTAAGATGGAACGAAATAATAAGTATCTCTCTGCAATTCATAAAACTATTGACAGCAATTCAGTCTTCAAGTGTAGTACTCCTTGAATCAACAAGAAAACACGATATTTCAACTATTTTTACAGATATTTGCCATTAATTTAAACTTGAGAAAAAAATTTGCACACTAATAATTAAATTATTTAACTATACTTTTCAGAATTTTTTCAAATAACAGCGTTATCAAAAACAAAACAATCCATTATTTGTAAAATACTTTTATACGCTTTAAATATGCATATAATTTATGTACACAATATTAAAAACAAGATACTTCTTTTTTATCAGTTCAACTAACTTTGAATTCCTAAATCCTAAAAAAAATTCTTAAGCAAAACGGACGGCCGTTCTAAAAAATAAAAGCCTGCAAAAAAAATTTTTATTCTGATTTGTTTTACCAAAAAATTTTTTTAAATATATAAAATGTTATTTACACCTTTTTTTTTCTGGCATTAAACTCATTTTAAGCCACAATTACACATTGTATGAAACACTTGTTGTTCTTTTACTCAACAAGTAAATCAAAAGATTAAATGGTTCCTCAAGTCCGTAAGTGCAATCTACTGCCCGCAGATCAATGCATGAATATGCTTTGGAAGGCAGTCCCAATGAAAATAATAATAAGAAATCTCCTTTGACTAATAGTTTGCAAAGTACAAATCTTACAACCCCTCTCTATATTGGGATTATTATACAACCCCGAACTGATCAATACAATGGAAACAACAGGAAATCATGAACCAGAATCGAGTGAAGTCAATTTTCAGAATCTAAAAACTTAGTTTCATGTTTACTAGACTATTTCGTAGTTTCTCGAAATTTTGTAGAAGAAAAAAGCTTCCTAATAAAATCAAAATCATCCATTAGACGCTTTAAGGCTGCATCTACGACAAAAGAAAAAATGTCGATACTGAATGAAAGTAGCCTAATATTTATACTATTGAACAAGAAGATAATGAAGAAGCCACAAAGGAAGAAAATTGAATGGTTTTATACCAGATACACCATCTCATTCATGTGCTAAGAAGCGTGACAACAATACAAAACAGCTTTACACTCTAAAGCAGAGTAACACAACACCGTCTACTCGATCCACAGTTACATTCAAAATGTTAGATCAGTAATTGAATTCTGACTCGATGACCTAATCCCTCGTAAAGAAACCACTACAATTAGACGTTTTATAAGAATAGAAACAGATCATTTTAAAATATCAGCTACACAAAAGACAACATTACAACGTTTATTACGGCTGACGTAACACTTAATGATACTAGCAATAAATTATTAGATTTAACTAATGTGTCAATTTATTAATTTAATAAAACGTAACCAGAAGTAGTAACGTAATGACGGCCACTCATAAAAATAAATTAGTATTATGTTTGGTTATTATTCTGTTTGGATATGAAATAAAAAGAAAGAGATAAAATCATGTCTTAAGATCTTTACTCGTGTTTAGTAGGATTAGCTTCGGCAGTAGAAAATAAAAATACAAGAACTTTAAGAAAATCTATGAAGAGTCAAATAACCGACAATTTGACAAGAGACATATTGCCTAAAGCAGTTCATAGAGAAATTAGTCGTGTAAATATCATAAAAATTATATGCTTTAGTGAATGTGCTTATTTATCAAATAAAGTAAGACAACAAAAATCAACAGAATGTTACAACAGTCTTTTTGGTGGGCATAGAGGCATAAGCAAAACTTTAAGTAGAATACGAAAATCGTATTACAGAGGAGGTAAATCAAGTGATATTTAAAACTTTGTACAAAAATGCACGATTTTTTAAGAACAAAAATTAACGTGCATAAAAACAAAGGAATAAGCGATAACAAAGATACTTAGGCTGAAATTTACTCAAAAGCAGTCTTTAATACTATAAGACTATTATCAAAAGCAATATTTGGAAATAAACATATATTAACTATATAATACTTAATTTAAAAATACTGTGTAGCAGTAGCTATTCCATACATCTGATCTATTACAGTAGCAGACGCTTTAGCGAGATACTTAATTAGCTTTGTATGAAGTGCCTAAATTGTACTCAGTCATAATCGAAAGAGTTTTTGGAATCATATACACTAGCAAATTTAGCCATAGTTTTCAGTTTTAACCTTAAGACTACTACACCTCATAATCGGTTCTTTATAACGTAGTCATGTCATGTTTGCAAGCTTTTTAAGAACCAAATCTACGATTAAACAGGATTGATATAAGCTATTATGTTTTGCTATACATGGAAACAATTTATGACTTCATACAGCTTCTAGATTCACACCATATCAATTATAACATGGCAGAAAAGCATGTTTACTAAATCCGTGTCAAAACAAAAATCAAATGCTATCTTATAGTAATTAAGTTTAAAATAAGCTTAATTATAAGAGCAGTAGCAGCGGTGTTGTCACAATAGCCTGCAGAGGCAGGCAGCAGCACACGCTGACGACGAAAGGACCCGTGGAGCCAGCAGCAGCAGCGGTGTTGTCACAATAGCCTGCAGAGGCAGGGAGCAGCACACGCTGAAGACGATCAAAGTACGAGCAGCAGTGAGTCCCCGAAATAAACAATGGACTCGCTCGCACCCGACGACAAACGAATACAGAAAAGAGAGAAAGAGATATGTCTATATGTGTGTGTGTGTGTGTGCGTACGGACTACGCGCCGGCGCGTTGACCGCGTCAGCCTCGTCGCCCGAGGAGAACGCAAAAAGAAGCCAAGATGGCCGATAAAACGACCACGAGTCTGACATACAAGGATAATGTCCTACATCTATATTTCACCTCCCCATATCTGGCCCGAAGGACCATGTTTGAAATTGAACTCAGTAAGATAGTGGACTGTATAATTTATATCGCACGCCAGATTTGGGGGAGCGTGAAAAGGATGTAAAAAAAAGGACACAATAATAAATGCACAACACACTTTTAAACACTTTAGCCGTTTATTATAAAAAAAGCAATCTCTCTATTTAATTTTACTTTAAAATGTCATTATGCTTGCTTACTTGCAAGATAAAGAAGGAAGAACTAATTTATGAGTCAGACGAAAAAATGATGTGTCAATTGAAAATGTGAATCGTTTTTCGTTACTGAAATCTTACATAAAAACGATACACGTGAAAATTATAAACACGAGCGCAAAGTTACTTACCGAAAAGGGCGTTTGAGGCTGACTGACGATAACCGCAGCAGCAGCAAGCTGCTGGACAAAGGCAAGTATAAACAGAGTCCATTGGTGTAATAATAGACGCGTGCACGCTTATGATTGGCCCTTATAGGTAAGAGAATATCTTAAAGCGCGAGATTTTAAATCTCATAAACTAAATTTTCTATTTACATCAGCATAATGTTACTGATGTTGCACAGTAAGAAAATAGTTTATTCTTATCATTAATTTAGTTTCGAATTATTAATACATTATAGTTTTATGATAAACATAAATCTTTAACAAAGATCACATGTTTTAAAATTCATATTAGCTGATTGTATTGACAGTAACTTAGCTGTTGAGTAAACAAAACTGTGACAACTTACTTCTGTTAAATGTAAAAAAAGTAGAGGAGTAAGAACAATTTTTTTTGTGTACTTAAATTTACGGGACTTTTATTATGGAAATATCATTTGTAGCAGCATTTTCCTTTATCTAAATGTTTGATGGTTATTTTTTATTCTCTACTCTCAGTATTATGTTGTTTATATGTTTACTTGCATCGATGATTTCAAAAATTCTATTAACATCTATCGAATTTTTCTTTCCTAGATTATTTTATTGCGTAAATTTTCATACCAAACTCTGAATTCTAAGGTTTGGCAAGTAAATCATAGTTTTTTTCACTTTTATGGTTGCATTTTATGAGCCCATCATGAGCTTTTTCATGCATATTTCTTAGACGACGGGTTAAACCAATAACTTTTAAAAATGAGTGCTATGAAGTGGGAGAGGATACTTTTTATTCAGTTCAGGGTGATTTTAACGATTTTTTCAATTCGCTTATTGATCATTCGAATCCAATAGGCACCTTACCTCCTGCCAATGCCAATGTTAGTTCGTTTCAGAGTTTCTCTTCTTTACCTTCAATAGACTTGCCATCCTTTAATGGTGATTTTGCTAGTTGGGAGAATTTTCGCGATGTTTATAGGGCTATAGTCCATAGGAAGCAAGAATTATTAGCTATTATTAAATTTCTAGATCTTAGGGCGCATCTAAAGGGTGAAGCTTCAGACCTCATTAAAAATATACCCTTGTCTAAAGAGAGTTATATACAG